TAAATTAGATAATGAAGAACAAATGGTTAGTTTTGATATTGTCAGTTTATACACACGTATTCCAGTAAATATGGCTATAGAAGCAGTCAGAAATGAACTCATTTCTGACCAAGAACGTGAATGAAATTGTCACTTGAGATGTATTTACAGGGAACCCACACATTCAAACAGATATTTGGTCTTCCGATTATCCCATCCTATGTCAGTAAAAATAAGATTGGTGAAATTGTTAAGTAATAATGCACAAAATCTAATCAGTGCAAAGGACAATCTAAGTCAGGAAGTGAGGCATATAAAAGAAGCTTTGAAACTAAATAATTACCCTGATTAATTAGTCAGAAAGTATGTAGAGAAATGTAAAAATAAAATAACAGTAATGCTAGTGATAATGATAATAATGATAATGGTATTATTAATGACGACATGCATGTCAAACATGCGCGAGACAACACCAACAATAATGAATCTAAATCATGAGTGGTAACGCTAAACAACGAAGGAACCTCGGGAACCTTACGCAGAATTCTTAAGAAGGCAGGAATAAAAGTGGCTGACATTCAAACACACACACTCAATTCGAAACAAGCTTTGTCGGTTAAAGGATCCTGTAAGGCCAATTAAACAAAACAATTTAGTTCATCTAATTCCCTGCCTGCAATGATTGTTTGGTCAAATACAGAGGGAGAAATTGATAACAGAAGCTTTGTTTATCGAATCAACTGCAAATATGTGAAATAGGAATAACTCAACACCTGTCCCGGATATCTGGAAAATTTTACTAACACAACGACGACAAATAGGAGAGAACAAAGAAAACTATAAAACTCAAGTTTCGAAGTCGTGTGATTCTAATTGATGAAATGATTATGAACAATAAATTTTGTTCGAAACGTCATTCAGTAAATAATACTGTTTCACTCTGTGAGTGATACACCTAATAAACAAACTAATATTGAATTATTTACTACCACAGTGACCAAGTTTTACACATACATCAATGGCATAATTACAAATTCTGGAGACCCTCCTATGTTTGACGAAACAAGAACAACAAACTTTGCTGATTCCTGTCAATGTCATACCGAATCTATCAAGATAATTAAGGTAAAAGCTGGTTTCCGTTTATGTTGCGCAAGTGAAGACTAGTGTATCTTACGGAAGTCAGGATGCTGCAGACTTTTAATAACACCCGTCTTCGATCAATATTGCATACCAGTAGCGTAGTTACATATGATAAGACTTAGATGCATAGATACTGAAGGTTAATTGGCTGACCTGAAGAGTTAAGCAATAAATTCACTAAAAACCCACTCATTACCCTGAAGAAAATGTAGAAGGGAGTAAAACCGGACTGAAACATCCTGAAAAGATCACTGATTGATGTTGTGTCAGACACTCTAGTAAAATCTGAATGGTAAGCGACGAGTTGGCTTTACGATTAGAAAGATTGAAGGGAACATATTGAGAAAGTGATCTGTTTCTGACGTTTTATATTCCACAAAGAACTCAAGGGACGAATAGTATTACTTTACATTAGAAAAGTTCGCAGTCAGAATTATTTTTTATCCCATGAATTAGCACAAAGCATGTTAGATTTAGAAATGAGAATACGGAAGTGTTTACAGATCATCACCTAGTTTCAATAAGACGAAAAGCAACATTTAATTCAAAGACACTATGAAATACTCATTAAGCTTTTTAGAAAAAGCTTTATTGTTTATATTTCATATTTGTTTCCTTTTGCTAAAGATAAGTTTGCTGAAATTCATTGTCTGCAGTCTTTATTGGTTCCATTTATTTAAATGTCACGTCTGTCCAGAAACCAATGAAACTGTGCTAACTTCAGCATCCGACTTGTCAGCAGATACCAAGCATTTCAGTCTGATAGAAGTTAAACTGGAAAATAAGCTGATCCTTGCTAGTGACTGTCTACTGGATGAAGTGTGTCCATTTTCCTAGTAAACCTGTTGAAGTCGAACAAGTTAGTTAGGAGGACAGTTACCTCGATGACAATAGCTGGTGGTTAAGGTTGTGTTTTACCTTCACGTTCCCGGTGGAACGTAGGGCTTCAAGCTAGTGGCTTGAAGTTTCTGAAGCAGTGTTAATTTTTACAGGTTGAGTTGCTAGCCTCGTGTCCAACCTATCCTCTTTGCCAGTCTTATTACTGAATTAGCGAGGTAAAAGAGTGCGTTGCCCGGGGATCAAACCCCGGACTATGTCCATGGTAGGCGAGCGTCCTAACCGCTGTGCCACAGACGCTATGGTTAAGGTAAATATCGCGAATTAGCAGAAGCTGAAGTTGATGCGCCATTGAATTGAGTCTCATTAGATGGATTGTTTATGAGCTCCTCTTGTAACCAGAAGGAGCTGAGTTCGAATACCAGTGATTTCGTACTGCTGATGAATCTGTCTTGGACGAAACAACTGTCCAGTAATTCCGGCAACTGATGTCAGCTCGTCATGAGGCTTGTCATAAAAGTCAGTCAACAAGAAATTTTAACAATAATTTCATGTTACACATTCTGTTCTTCTGGTGCACAGGTTTCAGAGTCGTCCAATTTTAATCCACCTAATACTGATGTGACATTCAGCCAATCTAGTATGTTATTTTTCATGACGTTTGTGTGTTTGAATCACCTGAATAAGTAAAATATATGAATCAGCCGATTTACAGATGACTTGACAACCCTTTACGCCATAGGATAAACAAATGACACAACGTACTATTGCTGAAAGTGGGACTGATCGAATCAAATTTTCAATCTGTGGATATACCGAATCCATGCCAACCACTGACATCTCTCAGGTTCCGATCTCGACTGACAAATTACAGTCAACAACAAGAGAAAGAAAATATGTATACAGCAAATTCGGTTGGCAGAAGTCAAATCAAAAGACTTCGATTCAAACTGTGCACACAGGAAGAGAGTGTGACTAATCCTTCACCATCCTGCCAACATAATTGTTTCCTTCGTGTACCTTTGTGTTTTGTTCTCTTGCGGAACATTCTAATCAATCCAGATTTTGATTTTTACTCACTGAGTTGAACTCATTATTAAGGTTTCAAATCTACTAAATTAAATTTTTTTTATCCACTTTATAATTTTACTTCACTATTCACCCCCACTCTCCTGCATTCTCCACCATAATATGTATAAATTCACTATGTTGTTCTATCTTGTATTTTGCCACTAGTCCATCCTTATTTCCAAGCTAAATTTGAAGTATACCCACTCGTCTAATCACCATATAAACAGTAACTTTTACAATAATAAGTAATTACCTACTTAAATAATCTTTGAAATTATGTCGACCATAATTTCTATCAATAACTTGAAATTACTGTAAAAGTATGTTCAGACACCATCTAGCATACAACTGTATTATTTAGGATGCATGCAGTTGAAGAGGATCAAAACACGAAATTAAACGGGCTTGTAGTATCTTACCTTAAAACATGTTCATTCTTTCTTTATTCAAACTTACTAATAATAAATTATAAGGCATTTGAATTCACACAGATACGCGTACGTGCACTGAATTGTGAAGACAAAGCACGTAGTTCAGAGAAAAGGATCCACCTGGTAAATTTATTTGCTTCAGCTGAACAATCGCCTTTAGACACGCTGATTTCTACTGCCTGCAGTTTCGTTTGCTTGTTTTTCCACCTCCTGCTAACTCTTTTATCAACACTGACATTAAGTATGGTCGGAAACGTATTCCGAAAACATGGATCTCAACAGTTCTCATTCCATATAGAGCAGAGACGTCAGACGATATCAGAAGAGTACTCAATAAGTTCGACATCAGAGTTTTCTGCAAAATATTGTGTCTATAAAATAAAATGCTTGCTTGGAATGTGATGCGATATACATTGCACAAACATCTCGAGAATTCAAAATCAAAAGAAATGAACGTTGTTGAGTCTTCGTTCGATCAGTAAGAAATTCAGTTGAGCTATAAAAACCATAGGTGTCTACACGCTATAGAATCAGGCCACAAAATCGATTCTGACAATATTGAAATAATCCAGCAAAATTTGAGAAATCACAAAGAACGTCTAACATCATCAGAAGCACTTCATATCAAGTGGAATCCTAATTGTCTGAATAGGAATAATGGATTAAAACAGAATTTGACCTGGTTACACTACCTACCTCCCCAATGAAGTGACAAAATCGACACCAATGTGATAAGCCATTTCAATATGTAAACACAGGCTGTTGTTTGATAATTTTACACACTTATCAAATCCAACCATCTACACCTGGTTTTGTTATCTTTACCAATTGGCCATTTTGACAACGCAAAAATGACCTAATGCTGAGGAGCGATGATTAAGTTGTTATATATAAGCTCAGTAGATTTTGTAAATTCTGGTTTAATATTACACTTTGATGAAGCTATTAGCAGCAGCATTAAGCAGCGAAACGTCAGCAATAGCAGAAATATCGTTTTCTTTTTCATTCTTTGGGAAATACAAAATCACCTTTATTACAATGAATATTTAGAACTCTTACATAATTCTAAATTCTCTTCGTTTCCATGTTTGTCTTGTTTACAATTCACTCAGTAAATTGTTCATCTTATTACGTAACTTCAGTACACTTGTTCAAATTCTCTTATGCACTGGCCAACAATAACCACTATGTTTGTGACAATTCATCACTTTTATTACTATCCTCTTGTATGAAAAATTGTATTTAAAACCGATTGTACAGCTAAAGAAAATGAAATGGCTGAACTACGTGTTCTGTTTTCATGAATGTCTGGATGAGGGTTATTCAATAAATTGCGTTCAGAACATCGTCATCGATTTATGGGTACTGTATCACTCTGCGTTATGTCAAACAAACGTATCTCATATGAAATTCTATTCTACCACAGTACTTCTAGGCTGGAAGCTCTATTACCCATGCAAGGTAGTATAAAAAAGGTTAGAAAAGCTGAGAACTGTACACACACACACACACAAACAAACACTCATGTAACGAACTCACCTCCTTCCTCCTCAAAATCATCTTTATCAATCAAGTGACTATGATCCAAAGTCTGGTTGACCTTTTGTGTAGTATTAATATTATTTAAGTCAAGTGTATTGAAATCATGAGCTAAATAATTACCAATAGTTGTATTATTGATATAGGCATGGGTACTACTTATATTACTAATATTTCTTTCAGTAGTAGATAAATTATCAGTTAATATCATAGGCTGAATCATTTGTTCTGTTAGATATAGAATATGATATAATGAAATTATAAAAGTTGAACAGGAATATGTACACATGTATGAAAGGAAGTATTTATATGCTCCCCTTATCTTTATATGTATACAATAACTATATTTCAGTACTTATTATACGGTATATGTATATAAATTATGTAATCCATACTATGTATTGAAATAGTTTATATCCACATTAGATATTCTCAAAAGTTTAACTATACAGCTAGTTAAAAGCAGCATCTCTGGCGTCAATTCCTGTTTTGTTACGAAAATGAAAATATGCAGTACAGTTTTTTATGGTCCCTCAGGTTTATTGTATACTAGCACAGTTTATCCATTTGTTCATTATGACAACTGCTCGTTTATAGTCCGATCGCCGATATATATATATATCTTATATACTTATTAAAAATGTAAAGAATATCCCAGATACATTCTGAATGGCATTATGGCATAATTCAACTGAACTGATATCTGATTGGTTTAACGTAAACAGTTAGCCTGTTTTTGATTGGCTGATTTTTGGGAAGTAAATATATATATATATATATATAAAGAGGGAGTGATAGAGGTATGATTCAGACTTATAAAAATATGAAAAGGAAGGGTGTCTATTTCTGATTGTCAACAGTAAGGAGATTGTTCTTCTCGAAGACTTAGAATGTTGTGAAACTAATGAGAAGCTGACATTTTGAATATCCCATAGTCACTTTGAAATAGCTATGTTTTCTGAGCTGGTTGGTTTAATTGTGAAGCTTTCGTCGCTCCTCTAGACAACATCCGCCTTCAGCGCAGGCTTTAGTATAAAATGAACTCATCTGAATTCTCCATGAATGACAGAATTGTGCCTCCTGGTAGTTGATGTACACCTCTATTGATCATTTTTATCAACTTAGAATTTGAACTTTCTCGTCAAATACTTTACTTTTTATTAGCTGGTAAATTTTGGTCTCTATTAATATGTTTGTTAAGTGTTGATTCAATTGACTACTAAGCTTCTAGAAATTCCCTGGAATTAATGTCTGGTGTTTCCTCTCTTTAAAATTCTTAAATAATCCCAGTCAAATTGGTGTCCATAATTGGCTACATGCATTGATATGAGAGAATATATGTCATGCCGTTTTATAACTAATTTGTGTTCTTGGATTCTGGTTCAAAAGGAACGCCAACTTTAAACAATGCAATATTTATAACAGTTCATATAGTTTGTTATATAGGTGGTATTCGTTTCATCTTCTTTTTCTGCTGGATAGTTTGGTTGCACGATATCGAATGAACTGATTGTGCTGGCCTGTGTGTCATGTGATTATCCTGTTTCCTTTCTTGTTCAACCTTACCATTTATTTCTGTCATATTTACGTTTATTTTAAATCGCTATCTGCATTATATGTCTGAACCTCCTACCTACTTCGTTAATACTACGTCCTTAAAGAGTAATTATACAAACTGACGAGTATTCCAGTAATTATAATCCTCTTCTGTCTTTTCTACCCTATCTTCCTGATTATTACACATTGTAATTTTTAATTTGACCTTTGACCTGCAATATTTCTAGAATAGTGCCACTACCTATTTTCTGATTATTGTAAATAGTTATCTTAATAATTTGACCTTTGGCAGGATATAAATCTGGAACTCCCCTACACATTCAATATGAATAAAGGGATCTAAACCCTAGTTGATGACTTCGTCAAAAAGAAACTTTTCTAGATATGATAGAGAAGATTTGTAGCTCGGGTGGATGATTTTGATAAGGTTGTGTTCTCTGAGCTGGATAGTTAATTCGCGAAGCTTTCATCACCCTACTAGGTGAAGAGAGATATCCCATGGACGTTTTCTAAAAGAATGGATATCCACGAAATTTTATCAAAAGGCATATACCCCCAAAGCAACCTATCAAACCAAAAGCCCCTCAAGGAAAGTACAAAGAAAGTCGCCCTGCCATATATATAGGATATATCAGAAATCACTACAAGACTCGTCAAACCTTTAGGAATTGACATCGAACACAAACCAACAAAGTCGCTTCCCTCAATTCTATGTCAACCAAAAGACTCAACAGCGAAGGAAGATAAAACCAACGTCATCTACAAAATAGATTGTATCAACTGCGAGAAACACTATATTGGCCAAAGTACACGTCCCCTTCGTCTTCATATCTACGAACATAAGCTAACTGTCAAAAGACATGATATCCACTCCCTCATATCACTACATACAGACAACCACGGACATCAATTCGACTGGGACAACGTTCAAATATAAGACAGAAGAAACAACAAGAATGCTAGAGAATTTTTAGAAGCTTGGCATTCCAGTGAATCATCAATCAACAGACACATCGAGATAGACCAAATTTATCAACCGATAAGAAAGAAACCTCAGACACAAAGGGTCAAAGTTCAAGTCAAAGAAACAATCAATTACAATACAAATAACCTATAAGGTGTGAAAACACACAAAAACAACCAATCACGTTCAAGGTCACCAGGAGAGATGATTAATAAACTCGTGGAGAAATCTGAAAGCTCACTTCAAATTGAAGTATGCGCTGAAGATGTCGCCTAGTGGTGGGGCGATGAAAGCTTCGCAAATTAACTATCCAGCTCAGAGAACTTTTCTTCATTGCAACCGTCTTCCTAATATTTCACAGATATTTATATATATATATATATAGTAGTGCGGTGGTGTGATACAGACAATGTGTGCTAACGGACTATGATTCCCACATATTTCCACAGTTCAGCTCAGCAATGGCGACAGAATATGGTATATCTATTTGAACATTCTATTTGAAGTTACCGACAGAATACATTTCCCATGGTAACATACTGCATTGACAAAGGAAAACTATGTATATCTGAACATTCTATCTGTCATGTGCTTTGATGTAAACAGAAATCATACACTAAGTGATTGATTAAAGAATATAAACTGTATGTATATAGATAGACGTTTGGTTAATGAAAAAGATACCTTGGCTCCCATGTCGTGCCTTCTGTTGTTACAGTAGGATAAATTTTCTTGTGATCTTTGATGCTGGCTTGTTGTTGATGTTATCACTCGAGTTTAAGCACGTTTTGATGAAATTGTGAGGATATCCGTTCTTTTTGAAGGAGGTTAGTAGGTATGTTTCCTCCATTTTGCATTGAACACTAGAGTGCTTTAGTGTGTTTGAACTCTTTGAAACAATATCTGCATAAAGTTTCATTTGTTGATAATAGCGTTATTACTACTATAGTTGAGTATTTGTTCTGTGTGCATTGGTTTTATACATACTTGTGTTTGTAAATTTCCTCTGTTGGTTCTCTTGATTAAGACATCTAAAAATAGGATTTTGTTGATTAATTCTTCTTCTCTTGCAACTTTGACACCATAGTCACATATCGCAAATAAAATTCCTCTTTGTATCCATCAAAGAACCAAAAACTACTGGACAGCTATTTCGTTTTGAGTTTGAAAGTAATTCAAATCTCTGGAAATCAACAACTGGAAATTAATCCAATCTTTACTGGTGTCTCCGAATTTGGAATTGAGGGAAAATACTCTAAAATGAAGTCTGCTCGCAGTGACGTAACATGTATATTTATAGTTAAATAACAAAAGTTTGAATTCAAGCATCATTAGATTCCCTGCTCACATGGTAACTTGAAGGTCCTAGGTTTGATCCACAAAAAAGTGATAAAGCAACGACCAATTTATTTAACATTGGGAGAATTTCAGCAAGTTTAAACATAGCAATTTGAATATTCTTAATAGGCAGAGAAAATTTGTGACATGTGGAAATGCTGATTGACACTTAATTCTATGCAAAAGAAAGGACACGATATTTAGACATTAATTTATTGTAATAAGAAGCATTTTTCAAGCTGTGACCACAGTTTTGAGCGTATTCATTGTGCAAACTCTATCAGTCCAAAATATTTCTTATCAGTTTTACCTTTAATGCGTACAGGTCTACAAGCTCGCTTTGTAACCATAAGGTCCTAGGTTCGAATCCTGGCGGGTGCATATATCATTTGTGTGCGTCAATGGAACAGCTGTAGAGTGCTCGCTAACCACGCAGATGGACCAGGGTTTGATCCCTGGCCAACGCACCCCTTTACCTCACTGAGCCAGTTGTAAGACTGATAATCACCACTGCTACAGAAACTTCAAGCCTTTGTCTTGAAGCCCTTTGTCCTACTGGGACCGTAAGGCAATAAAAAGAAGTATGGAAATTGGACGGCAACATAGTAAAAATCATGTGGAGAGGAAATAAGCTACTGAATCCCTGTGTACTGTTATTGGAAACCAAGGGAGGAGTAATGATATATACAGAAGAAAGTATCGGCAACATGCTGCATGAATTTTTGTCAAGTTACATAACATATATCTGGAAAATGGTGGCCATCACAAATGGACACAGTCTCTTCTACAACCTTTATCGACAGATAACTGAATTTTTAAACATTTTATTCCTTTACGTCCCCAGTGGAGCATAGGACTTCAAGCAGTAATTATATTTATGGGATGCGGCTGCTAGCCTCATACCTAACCTTCCCTCTTTACCAGTTTTACTGGCTTAGCGAGGTAAAGGAGTGCGTTGGCCGGGGATGGAACACCGGACCATCTGCAAGTGGCTGGCTGGCGAGCATCCTTAGGCTGTGCAACCGACTCACTAGATGACTGAATGTATTATCTTTATTTCTATTATTTCTCTAACAATTGAATATTTGAATCTTAGTTTCCAAATTATCATAAAATTGAACACTTTACTACCCAATATAAGAGTTTGAAATATTCTCATAGTATAAATTACAAATCATTTTACACGAAGAATATTCTTTTCAGTCAACCTTCTTCATTTTCTTATAGTTATGAGAATAAAACTCTCATTATCATTACAAGAGTAGCCAGTTATACGGGGAGTATATTTTTACGCAGAATAACAGATGGATTCAAAATAAATTAAGAACACAATAATCAGCGAAGAGACTTTTTTCAACGAATTTATTATCAAGGTGTACAATCGTATATGGTTTTTTAAAAAAATTATATTCGATGAGGGAATTAGATCAAGGGTGTGAATACATGAAATAATAATGATAGTATGAAATGCAATTAAAATATTTGTGATTATAATCATAGTTAAACCTCGCCTAGATTACTAGCTCACTAGTTTTCTAGCCGGTCCCAAGCCCGGATAAAGAGGGAAGGTTGGGGCGTGGTGCTAGCAACTCCATCCCAAAAACTTAACCAAATTGCTACAGAAACTTCAACGCACAAATATATTAAAAATTCTAAAAACATAAACAATAACCTTATTTTTCGCTGGAATCGGGGAAGTGAAATGACGCAGGCTGGTGAAAGCCTTCGGGAAGCCAGTCAGCCGATGTGCCTTCTTTC